AGCTTGGGATGCAGCCTAGTTGGCATTGACACTTGCCTATGGGGTCTTATCTTAAGGAAGACCCAATCCCCTTCTTTTATAATGGACTCCTTCCTCTTTCTATTCGCATACTGCACCATCCGCTCTTGTGCTCTAGTCAGGTAATGTTGCAGCTGATTGATAGCTTCATCCCACGTCTGCAAGTCCTGTGCCACCACTTCTACCAATGTTTCTCCTGGAATAAATCTGGTTAATGTTGGCGGGGGTCTGCCATAAATTGTTTCAAAAGGAGTGCATTTTGCCGTCCCCTGATAACTGGTATTATACCAATATTCAGCCCATGGTAACACTGTGTTCCAAGCCTTAGGTTGTTCTGAACAGAAACACCGTAAATAGGTTTCCAGTACCTTAGTCTGGTCGTCCGTTTCTAGGTGGTATGCGGTGCTCATTCTTAATTTGGTGCCCTGAATTCTAAAAAGCTCCTTCCAAAATGTACTGATAAAAAGAGGATCCCTGTCGCCAACAATTGACACTGGTATCCCGTGCAGTCACACCACTTCCCTCACGAAGATTTCTGCAATTACCTTTATTGTATAAGGATGTTTTATGGGAATAAAGTGCCCATATTTGCTCAACCTATCCACCACCACCATTATCATTTCAAACCCTTGAGATTTTGACAACTTAACCACAAAATCCATGCTTACTTCTTCCTAGATTGCCTTGGGAATAGGCAATGGCTGCAAAAGTCCTTGAGGAGATGATGTCATATATTTGTGTTGTTGGCAGACCAAACAGGAAGCTACATAGTCTGTCACCCTCTTCTTCATACCCTTCCAATGAAAAGCCTGGGCGGTCTTCTATACGTTCTATATACCCCCGAATGTCCCCCTGTAGTAGAATCATGGAATTCTGCTAAAATCTTTGGTATCCATCCAGACTTTTCTGAAAGCACGAGTCTTCCCTTAAAATGTAACATCTCGTTCTCCATTGTGTAAGCAGGATGGGAATCGGGATCATTCTTTATCTCTTCAATTATCTTTTTCAGCCCTTCATCCTTCTCCACTTCCTTTATTATCTCTTGAAAATCAGGCCAATATGGCCTGGTTATCACTTGTAACGTCTTGTCCCCGTCTTTCCCTTCTTCTCCTTTCCTAGACAATCTGTCTGCCACCCTGTTTGAAGCACCCGTTCTATAATATATATCAAACTCATATCCCATGAGTTTTGCTAACCAGTTTTGCTGGTTTTCTGTTATTATGCACTACTCCAACAAATACTTCAAGCTTTTCTGATATGTAAAAACATTGAAACGCTTCCCCAGTAGATACGGACGCTAGTGTTGATTGGCCAACACCAGGGCCATCAACTCCTTCTCGTAAACTGACTTGCCCAATGAACCTTCTGATAACGCCTTGTTGTAATAAGCTATGGGCCTCTTATTTTGTGACAATACCGCTCCTATTCCCTTCCCCGAAGCATCACATTCAACTTGGAAAGACTGTGAAAAATCTGGCAGAGCAAGAACAGGAGCAGTGGTCACTGCCTTTTTAAGAGCTTGCATGGCTTCTTCTCCTACAGTTTTCCACTCAAACTTCCCCTTCTTCAAAAGATTCGTGAGAGGTCGGACAATTTTCCCATAATTCCTTACAAATCTCCTATAATATCCAGTGAGCCCCAAAAACCCCCTTAACTCTTTAATGCAACAGGATGTTGGCCATTCGGTCACTGCAACACTTTGTCTCCATCCATCTCTACCCCCTTTTCTGATGTCATGTGTCCCAAATATCGAATGTGCCTTTTGCCATAATCACACTTTTTCTTGTTGGCAAACAGCTGATGTTGTTCTAGCACTTCCAGCACTTGCCTAAGGTGTTTCTCGTAATCCCCCCATGACTTACTGTACACCAAGATGTCATCAAAGAATACCAGCACACTCTTCCTCAAGAACGGTCTCAACAATGAATTCATCATGTCTTGAAAGGTGGTCGGAGCATTTGTGAGGCCAAAGGGCATTACTAAGAACTCATAATGTCCTAAATGAGTTCTAAAGGTTGTTTTGGGTATATCGGCCTCCTTCATCCTTATCTGGTGGTATCCAGATTTTAGATCCACCTTAGAAAAATAAATTGCACCGTATAATTCATCTAGAAGCTCTTCAATTACAGGAATTGGATATTTATTGGAGATAGTTGCTCTGTTTAAAGCTCTGTAATCTACACAAAAACACCAGCTCCCATCTATTTTTTTAACCAGAATTACTGGACTGGAAAATGGGTTGTTATTGGGCCTAATAATACTAGGCCCAACATCTCCTGAACCTGCTTTTCTTTTTTAGCCTTCATTAAGTGAGGATACCTATATGGTCTCACATTCACTGGCTCAGTACCTTCTTTAATGGTTATCTGATGGTCCACTTTTCTGACAGGAGGAAGTCCTTGTGGCATCTCAAACACCCTCTCGAACTCCCCCAAGATCTTCTCCAGATTTGCTTCTTGCATGGGAGTTAAACCCTCTACTCCTAAGTTTTCTACTACTGTTTCAGACTGATGCAGACCCCACACCACCGCTAGCGTTTCCATCCCTGTTTCCTTCTACAATGCCTCTGGATTGATGACCTTCATCATCAATCTGCTATCACCTCTTATCACTACCTCTCTTTCTGTCGTCCCATACTTCATGGTCATTTGCTTCCAATCCACCCTAATTTCCCCCAACATGGCCAGCCACTCTACTCCCAGCACGACGTCGACTCCCCTATTTCAAAGAGGTAAAAATTCTCTTTAATTTCCACTCCTTCCAGTATCAATGAAACTCTCATGCAACGACCTCATGTTTCCTTTCTTTGGTCGTCCCCCAGGCAAACGCAATATGGCGTCGTCTCCTCCTTCTCTAAACCCATCTCGTTCGCCAAACTTGTCGAGATGAAGTTATGGCTCGCTCCGTTGTCAATGAGCACGATTACTCTCTGATCTCGAATCCACCCCGACAACTTCATGGTTTTGGATTGAGCGATTCCCCCAACGGAATACACCGATAATTCCATGCATCATTGTTCCGCCTCCTCTTCTGCCTCTGCCACTTCTTCGTCTTCGTCATCGGCCCCCATAATCATCACCTTGAAACTCCTCTCCGCACAACGATGTCCTGGGCTATAAGGACTCCCACAATGAAAACAATGGCCCTCCTCTCGCCTCTTGAGATATTCCGGATATGGTAAAGTTCGCACTCCGCGACTCAGCCCGCCTCCGCCTATATTGCTTTCTACCTTTGAATCGGCGGTTCCGGTCGTCTCATCTTTCTTTGGACCGAGACCTCTGTCGCTACTCCCCTGCCTCTCCGATGACCCGCGATAGGTCTCCGTTCGCGCTACAGTGCCCGCGCTAGCCGCATATTTCCCCCACGTCGATCCTCCTTTCATCATTCCACCACCGCCACTAATCCCGATTGCTCCACATCTCGTGCCCTTTCCATCGCGGTTAACAAATCGCGCAGATCGTAAGGTCTAACGAGATCCCTTAGTTCTTCTTGTAATCCAGCGAAGAAATATTCGAGAAGTTGTTCCTCCGTCACGCCAGCCGCCTAAGCCACCAGGACTTCTAATTCCTGTACATATTCTTCCATCGTTCCTCTTTGTCGCACTGTCGCCAATTTTTCGAAGATTGTTCCCTGATGTCTACATCTGAACCTCCTGACCATTGCCTCCGTCAATGTCGCCCAAGTAGGATTCTTCACCTTCTTCCGCCAGAAACGAAACCAATAATTCGCTCCTCCCTCCATACAGATGTACACCAGCTTCATCTTCTCCCTTTCTGTCACATTTTGTAATTCAAAAATTTTCTCCGCCCTAGCAATTCATCCCATCGGATCGATCCCTTCGAAAGTGGGTAATTCCACTCTCTTCATCCAACTCTTTTGAACATCGCATTCTTCCTCTGATTCTTCTTCAGATTCATCCTCCTCCGTATCCCGACTTCCATTAACCGAATGACTTCCTTCA